GATATCCTACAGGCACTCTGCGTTTTGAACAGATGCGATCTTTACCTGACTTATGTTGTTGCTTGAGTTTTTTTTATCAGTACCAGTCTCCAAGACCACCCATTTTCACTGTGGGCTCAGCAGCCAAGGACGGATGTGTGCAGGTTTTATTTCTCCGTCAGCCGTCAAACAATGATGTTGTAATTTTGTCATTGCCGGAAACCTGGAAAAGCCCATATGAAAGGTTTAGGTTCTAATCTGGACCGTAGAGGGTGGGAAGGAATAAACTTTACCCCGGAGACTCGCCCACTTATCGTATTTTATGGTCATTTGAGAACTGTTGCGTACCGCATTCCTTTTGACGTTCCAAATAAGATTCTCGAAGGCTCAGGCCTATAACCGTCAGTAAACTGAGTTAAACCCCAAACAGAGGCGAATGTTTTACACAATTCTTTGTGATTGAAGACGTGAACGAAGTGAAGTTTCGCTAGGGGGATGATTATTCATGGGATCTAGGTGAAGTACAATAACGTAAGGATCTGCAACCAAATATTCATAATTATACGGATTTTTGTCCGACAATAGTCATGATTTGATCTCCGTAATCCTGCTGAGAGTAATCGCCTGATCTGTTTATCTCAATCTCGTTTCCTCTCTTTGTCCCCACCCCATTTCCTCAGAAACTTCTTCCTATGTAAATTTCCAAAGGAAGGTTTGCTATTCAAAATTGACCAATATTTGTCGTCTTGGGAAAAAAAATTCCTGTAATGGGATACGTTTCAGTTCATATTAAAAATGCAATAATTTTAGATTTTACTCGGCTGCAATTCCGGCGGTCGAAAGGAGTATTTCACTTCTTGTTTCTGTTGGATCTGTTCTTTTTTTCGGCAGTAAAAACCGTGCCACGAATCATCAAGACACATTCAACCCATTTTACGTTCTCTTTAAGTTTAATGATCTTTATAAACTTAATACAGAAAATTATTAACCGCAGACTCGCAGCAAATATTGCTATTGTGGTAACGTTATATTTGCGTACACGTGGGTCAAAAGTAAAATTGTGCAATAGTAATTAAAATTTAAATCTTTGCAGTACGCTGCAAAGAATAAAATTTTAATAATTCAAACGCTTGGCTGTGGGCCAGGGCTTTTCCCGCATACTTGTTTTTAGTAATGTAATATAACTCAGAGCCTCTGAAGGTTCGCCTTTTACTAGGACTCTGCGTCTGTTTCCCACTTTATCGGAAGGGGTTTTCGGTAGTTGACTTAGCCTTAACATCTTTTATAGAGTCTGCGTTTTATTGAAAGCTCCCCACACGAAAATTTTCTCGGAAAGTTGTTTATTGTTTATTGCTAAACGGCCTCGAAGTTCACTGAACTTGAAAGGATGGAGAAGCCTGATACCTCATATTGCTGTAGTCTGTCGTGCAAAGTTCAAGGTGTCTGTCCTATTAATTTTGACACTTTTCCGTTTTAGTGCATTTAGTCTCCCTCAATGTTACACATCAGTTTATAATTACTTTTCTTGTTACAGGAAGGAACCTCATCGTTCTCGCTGTCAAAATTTACAAGGACGGCCCTAGGTCTCTACACCAAACGCATAATTTGTTTACTGTTTTCATATGATACTAACCTACATTTGACTTTGTTTCGGATTTAGTGCCAAAATTATGGAAGACAGAAAGGAACTACAAATCGTAGAAGAATCCGGA